CTCAAGAGCAGCTTGACCTTCTCTTCAGCACTCAACTGCTTTGATTCTGTGATAAATTCAGAGAGCTTTTGCTTTTCCATGTTGACGGCGCGCTACGTGCTACGTACAAAAACTTGCACTTCCTCGAGCCAAAACTTGCGATCAAAACATTAGTTTTTGCTAGCTCCTAAGTTCAACCTAAGTTCAAACCAAGTTCAAACTAAGTTCAACTCAAGTTCAAAATAGCTAAACCCATAACTAACTTATATCTAGACGCAACTAACTTATATGTTCTCACATCTAGATGATAAGTTACTTACGCAATAAGTTGACTTATAACCTAACTTAAAGAACGTATAACTTAACTTATAACCCAACTTATAAGTTCATCAAGTTCAAGCGCGACATTCAGTTGGTTTCCTGGTCAATTGCCATACTTTGGGAACAGTGCGGAATCAGTCCAAGTGGCAGCTAACTCAGAATCCATCACATATGCAAGTAGAGTAGAAGATGGAGTGCCAATTTTCTCAGAGCAATTTCACATGTCAACAGCTTTTGCCCTTCCAGGTGTTGAACCTGAACCGGCTGACGATCCACCAGCACCACCAATCGTTGAAGGTCCAGAAGTACCACCAGCAGCCGGTGTGCGGGAAGAGGGGGGTTCATCAGATGCCGATTCGGAGCGTGAGATGCCTGTGGATAGAATGCGAAGGCTTGTGGCAGAAGCCAACTCTCTCGAGCATAGACTGTGTCACTATCCCAAGAACGCTTTGTGTCCAATCTGTCAGCGATCACGAATGTATCGAAAGCGTGTCCGTAAACACAGGCACGACCCGCTTGCAGATCGTGGAGCGCTCGCTCCTGTGACTCAGTTCGGGGAGAGAATTGCAACAGACTTCGTAATAGTCCAAAAGCTAAGTTCAGGAAAAGAACATGTTGTCCAAGTCATTAGAGATGAGTACTCGGGGTGGATCAGGGCTTTTCCTTTGAGTAAGCGAGACACAGCTTCAGTCGTTGGAAACATCCTTGCATTCCTAGGGCCATCCTACGATCAACCCTCAATAATGGTCAAGTCAGATCAAGCGGTAGAAACCAGGGCAGCTTGTAAACAGTTGGGGTGCACATTTGAGGGAACTCTGGAAAATCGGTTTCCCCATAACTCCACTCTAGAGCGTGACATCCGAACAATCCAGGAAGTCGCAAGAGCTTGCCATCTCCAGGCGGGTTTTGACATTGTGCCAGGCTTGTGGATGCACTCGATTGAATATGCTGCAGTCATGTTCAATGCTCACCAGAAAGCTGCTGGTAAAGATCAGACAAGACACATGCTTGCCGTTGGTGTTGAATTCTCGGGCAGGAAGTTGTTGTTGGGTCAATTGGTTCACTATCATGTGGATGCATCCCAAAGGGGTAAATTTGATCCATCATCCAAACCGGGTTTGTTCGCAGGCTGGAGGTATGATTCAGGGCCACATTCCCACAAAGCTATCTACTATGTCTTGGATTATGGCAGGTTAAAGGAAAGGGGTCCAGGGTATGCAAATGCCATCTCTGTTCCGGCTGAAGAGATGTTTGTTGAAGAAAGGGAGCCGTCACTTCCGTTGAAGCGGGCTGCAGATGACGCTTTGGCAAGATTCACAGACCCGTCGCTAGAAGACATTGCTCCTCTCGACATTCCATTTTCAGATATAGCCATTGAAAACAAAATCAAGCGTAACGAATATATCACCCTTGAGCGCATCATCCGCTTTGGTGCCACAGAAGGCTGTCGTGCATGTAGGTTCGAAGCCGAATACAGCAAGCACACAGCAATCTGCAGAGCGAGGTTCAACGGACTAATCCGGGCTGAGCGCATAGCGTCGTCCAGGGCAGATGGGTCAAAGACTCCATTGCCAGTTCCTGAGACGCCAACCGCATCTGTTCCAGTGCCGCCCACTCCAGCCCCAGAGACGGCTGATGATGAGTTTGCAGGTGCTGCCCCGGAGGATTTGCCTTTTAGTGCCGGTATCCCACCAGATCGTGCGGCAATAGGTAAGGTCCTTGAATTAGATGAACTGTTTGTTGAGACTTGTCGAATGAGAAATCGATTTCGCAGACTTCACAAACTGGTAGGGGAAAACATGTTCTTCGAGTTTGCATGTTCCAATGATTCAATACTGGGTCAGGTGTCGACTTCCATTGGGGTAGAGTGCATTCGGCTCAGTCGGGACGTGTTGGACTTGACAGACCCGTTGCATTTGTCACAGGCCTTAGGTCAGGTCGATGCTGTGCCGGGAGCGGACACATGGGTCTCGGTTGTGTGCACTCATCACAGTCCGTTGCAGCACTTGAACAAGCATTTGCACGGTCAACCATATCAAAAGAAATTGAAGAAGAAACAGAAAGAATCGATTGCCTTGCTTCGTAGCGCAGAAAAGTTCATGGAGAAAGTTCTGAGTCATGGTGGTCGGGTTGCCTTCGAGTTACCAGCAGAAAATGAGTTGTGGAAAGACCCACAATGGTTGGAGTTTGAGAAACACCAAGGGATGAAGCGGGTCTACTTCAACGGCTGTTCGCTCAACCTTCGGGGAAGACAGGGCAAACTGATTAAGAAACCATGGGCGGTCAGTACCACTGACCTTCGACTCATCCAATTTCTCTCTCAGCACAAATGTACTGGGGACCATGAACACGAACCTGCGATGGGTGGAAATGCATCACAAACCGCATATTACACCATGGAAATGGCATCGGTAATCCTAGAGGCCCTTTATCCCCACAAGTTCTATCGTGCCATCCCGTCTGTTTTGAGCGGTTCCGCCCTTGTCACACTCAATCTCAGCCGAAGTCAGTGGTTGAAAGATGAAAAAGGTGTGCAGGCCGTTCAGCACGAGGCACAAGGCCTTCGGAAAAATCAGACCTGGGATGATGCTTCGGTGGACACCATACAGAACTGGAAAGTATGGTCCAGAAACACAGGCATAAGGATTCACATTGCAGATTTGCTGACGCTGTGCGGCATAAAGCATTTTGAATTGGAGCCTTCTCAGTGGAAATACAAGGGCAGAATAGTATATAGGGGAGACAGAATTCGGGACACAGATGGCAACGTGGTCTTGTTCCAGGAGACCGCCACAAGTCCCACAGCCATCATTGCCTTGCAGATCACTCTATGGTTTGGGATGCTCCCAGATCACATCGTGACTTGTAGTGACGCCGTCCAAGCATTCTTGCAAAGCTGGTTGGACGAGGATGAGTACACACTTGTCCTCATGCCAAACGAACTTTGGTTGCCAAGTTGGAAAGCCAAGTTCGGAGAAGCGGCCAGGCTAGCAGTACGTCTACAGAAGAGCTTGTACGGTCACCCAATGGCCGGAAAGTGGTGGCAGAATCATCTTTCTTCGTGTTTGGTCTCATTAGGTGGAATTGAATTGCAGGAACACCCCAGCAATTTCATTTTTCGATGGAACCCAAGTGAGCATGGAGGAGAGGTGAATCAAGAATTCGTCCTTTTACTTAATGTGTATGTGGATGACCTGACCCTTAGCGGTCATCGTTCGTGCCATTCATCATTTTGGAAAGTCTTAACTGCCAAGGTGAAACTAGAGCCGTTCCAAGAGGTTGATGTTTCAGGTCACTTAATTTTGGGTCGCAAACACTTCATCGAGAGGAGTCCATCGCATACTAAGGTCACATTTGACATGCGCACTTATGTGGATCAGGTGGTTGGGACATACTGCGAACTGACAGGGATCAGTCAACAGTCTCTCAAGAAGGTCACGACACCAAGCTTCCCTGAAAGCTCTATGACCGATCAGGAGCTGTCACAGACGGGTGAACTTAGTGGCTTGGCATCAAAAGTTCTCATGCGAGCGCTTTGGCTCTCACGGCTGGCAAGACCTGACATCAGCTTCATCGTTGGTCGTCTTACCACTATGGTGACCAGATGGTCGAGATTCGAGGACAGGCAATTGCACAGGTGCATTTGCTACCTTCATCACAGTCGGGACAAAGTCCCAGTCGGACATCTCGATCATGAGCATGAACATGAAATGTCAAATAGCGATTTTGCTGCTTGCCCCCATACCGCCAAGAGCACATCTGGCATTCTGATCGCCCTCAAAACAGGCCAATCGATGTATCCACTGCATTGGTGCAGCCGAAAACAGTCCAGCGTTGCAAGGAGCACGCCGGAAGCAGAACTCATAGCGATGTCGACGGCGATGTTCACCGAGGTGTTCAACGTGCAAACCATGTTGGAACACCTTATGCAGCGACAGGTGCCTGTAAACTATAGGCAGGACAACCAGGCTGTGGTGCAAATTTTGGGGGCCGGATATTCCGCAAAATTGCGCCATGCACCACGGGTGCACCGAGTTAATGTAAGCTCTGTTCACGAGGTCCTCACTTCCGAACATGCCCATGCAGTTTGGTACACGCAGACCACGGAGCAAATTGCAAATGGCCTAACGAAGGTGATCACTCCTGCCGAGTGGCCGGCCATGTTGAAGCAGCTGAGCATTTTCGACTTTTCTGTAAACTCTGAAACATGAACTGGTATGTTTTCTTGGAATTGGCCATGCTCCGGCGTGATGCTTTGGTTCCGGGAATCTGACACATTGCATGTACAGAATGAGGGGGGAGTTGATGGAAAGCATGTATAGAGCATAGCATTCCTTGACGTCTTCTCATGCATCATGTGTCACTCATCATTTTGCCTACGCGACTTTGTATTTGGCTCAAGCACTGCGGAAAAAGGCGTTTGCGCGTGGTGCTTGCCGTTGCTACTAAACTACCAACTTTGGCTGTGGTTGGTGAGTTTAACTTATTTTACTAACCCTAGGGCTCCAAGTACCTTGTGAGAAGGTGGGACTGGGGTGGGTGCCAGGAGGGTCCAAACACCGAACCTGAGGAGGTACGACTGGAGCCCTAGGGTAAGCTTTAATTCTATTTATATATGTTTCTAATGGCAAAACATGGTTCCCAGTAGTACGGCCCGTTGCGCTCCGTTCGGTTCGCGTCCGATCGCTCCGTCCCGCCAGCCCGGATGCGGCGGCCTTGGGTGCCCTGATCTCCACCTGTGCCGAAGGCGCTTCGACACGGAGGAGGTTGGTGCTATTCCATGGAGGTTGGTGCCCAGAACGTCACATCTATGTGTAGTTACTGGGCACCCCTTAGCTGGAGGGCCCAGGTACAAGCTCAAGAGATCTCAACGCTCATTGATGCTACCCTAAGAATCAAGGACCCGACCCGTTCGGTGAAGGTTTGGTTCGGGTCCAAGGGCCCCTGCGGAACCTGCAGGGTCAAAACCCTCCAGAAGTGGTCGGGTCCAATGATCGCAATGATCCTTAGGGCAGAACGTCACATCCAGTGACTGGATGGAACCAAAAACAATCCTGACTGTGACTCCTGTTTCCAACCTTTTTGGTTGGATTTTTGGAACAGTCGAGTGGTGAACAGGTGGAAGGTCATCTTCGGAAGCGGATGGGAGGAGAGTGGATAATGTAATTGATGATACAAACATATTACTATTTAGTTTTTTAGTATCTTTTTTGAATTTCGATTTAATTTGAGGTGTTCTTGAGGTGGTCAGTACCGCACCAACATGAACAGCAAAAAGAACCACCCCACCGCCATGTCTCGTGTTTTTTCGTCGGACCAGGTTGGGCCTGGCCAGTGACCCTCGAGTTGCTCGAGGCGTGAAGAGAAGTGTAGCAGGGGAAGCAGGAAGGTTGGCATCTGAAGGGTGGAGGTTACATCCCTGGAATCATGGAAGTGCCCAGACGCGAAGTCTGGACCCGAATCCTCGGGTCAGGGGTCTGGGGTCGAACCAATCCATCGGTTTTGAGGCACCAGTCGGGCGTCGTTCACGGAGCGTTTGGGTGGCACCAAACTCTGCTTAGTGGAGGATGTCATGCTCGTCCGAACGATTCCGGGGCCATGCCATCCACCTCGCCATGATGCTTCCCGGGAGTGTGCTACTCCCCTTGAAGATGCCATGGCCACAGGTTTCACTTGCTTCGGAATGTCCAGGACGACCACCCCATGTGAGTACACTGAGGACATGAGTGGCCACTTGCTAGTTTTGGATACAATGGATATAGGCCCATGTTCATGTGGCCAGGGCTTTGTGTCACAACCTTCGCTGAGTTCAGATGCAAATCATGAGTTCAGAGTCTTGGGAAGATGGGTTCAATAGCCACAGAGCACGCAAGGGTGACGGCTTGCGTGTCATGGCTGGAGATGAACGTTTTGTTCCGAGGCTCGAGACGCATGTGCCGAGTCATGTGCCGTACCCAAAAGAGCCAAACACCTTCCCAGGAACCTTCGGATGACGGGTCGTTCCCATGAACGGCTGCCGAGGTAGTGGAAGGCAGGTGGAGGGAAGGCAGGTGACAGGTGTGTAGGTTGATTGACACACCCCAAGATTCTGCGGTCAAAGTTTAACACCAAAGTTCAACAAACTACAAGTGTCAAGTTGACATAAGTTCTGCCTTACAGGTTCAGAGAGACATTTTGTTTGCTTACCACAGGTTCATCTCAACCTCTATTTTCCAACTCAAGTGCGGTGGAGATGACCTGCCCTTAGTTTGGTCATGGTTGAGTCAAGTCACAGTCCCCATTCGGGGCCTATATGCACCAACTTCCCTCGCTTCCTCCTGACCATCACCAGCTTGCAAGTAAAACTACGAACCACTTTCTGTTGTTCTCATCTCATTTGAGTCGTGAACTGGCCAACAAGAACCAGCCACCTCAACGCGGCAAACGGCACTCAGTTTTTTCGTTTTGCAGGTGGCGCGGGGCCTCCCGTGTGAAGCCTCAGTGGTCGAGTGTTCTTCCACCGTTGCAGGGAGTACACTATAAGTACACTCCTTGAAATCATCATGGAAGTCCTACCCATCGGAAGTACGTGGATCACCGTGAATCACCTTTTTTGGGGGGATCGAGGAGGCCAGCCGAAGCATCCAAGTTGCTCCAACATCTCGAAAAAGAGCAGTTGCACCAATAAAGCCTGCCTAACATGACGAAGTTTGACCCTTCCTCATGAACATCGCTCCAGTCTTCCTCCCTAGGGATCCAAGTACCTTCTCAGAATGTGATTGGAGACACTGTTATGTAGGTTTGCAGGGTCCAGTCGTACCTTCTGACAAGGTACGACTGGATCCCTGGAGCCTTGTTTTTCCGTCTAAAACCCCACGGCTGCTCACCGCGGAACCTCCCCCCTCTCCGGCTCCGCCACGTCGACGCATCCGAGGCGAAGCTACCTGGATGACCGCCCCTTAGCCGACACCGCACGGAGACCGAGCGGCCGTCGACGCGGGGCCGGGTGTACCCTGGACGCCAGCGACGTCGCTGCAGGGGTGAACAGGGGTGAAAAGGGGGTTTCAGAAGCTGGAAGCGGAAAGGTGAAGACGCAAGAAGCGGAGTAACTCGAAGTTCCAGACTCTTCAATTCAGACGCCGAAAACATCCGCACCTGGAACACCATTCTAGAGGATGGGGGAACAAATAGGATCAACTGTTTCCAACTGTGGCACCAAGAAAGAGACCTTTTCCGACTCGACGGGTTTCGTGGATCATTTGGTGGCTCACCCCTTTTGGGAGGAGACCCCGAGACCCCAGTCGAATCCAAGTTATACCCTATAAGGATCCGAGTCCGGACCCTCCATGGGGGTCGGGGTCGAAACCTCTAGTTCACAAGGGTTTGTACCCTCAAAACCCTTGTTCTTGAGGGTGCGGATCCTTAGGGTAGAACTGCTATTTTTGAGGGAACTAAGGGGGTCAGCATTTTTTGGAAGCCTAGCAAGCCTCAACTAAAGACCTGTTAGAGAACACTGATATAATGCAGCTTTATGCAGTTTTATAGTTTTATACATATACACACATTCCCTGAAAGTCAAAGATTAGAATCATTAGACAGAGAATTGTTTTTAGGGCACCTGAAAGGAATTGTCCTGTATTTCACTGAGGCCAAATATAGTCCTTGGATGTGTGTCCATCCATGGCATCCATCCGTCCGTCCGTCCGTCCATCCATCCATCCATCCATCCATCCGTAAACACATGTTGTGGGTGAGGGGGAGGATGGTTTCTCTCATCCTCCCTGGGTTTCGCACGGGTCATGTGCAATGACAACCAAGGTCATGTACAACGACACCATGTCCGCCAGCATGAAGTCCGGGCACCTCGCGCTTTCCTTTCGAAGCAGTGAAGGTGGTGGGTTTACCACGGTCGAATGAACTGGCTAGAAGGTGAGGTCCGGAGAACACCGGCCGGGAAGTGGGGGAAGTGGGAGTTGGAAGGTGTGACATTTAGATTCAGGTTCGTTTTGGATGGCAGGGGGCCCTTAGTAGTAGCTTTCCTGATTCAGCAGGTGTTACTTCAGGCCTTCGCCATGCTTTGCCCAACCTGCCCTTTTGTTGTCCATGTCGCTAATTGTTGTCTTTTGGTATGCAAGGACGAAGATTGTTGTCCGGGACGTGTTTGACCGTAATCCCTGAACTTGGTCTATTTCACAACACTCAAATAATTCAAAAATATCAATAGTGTTCAGGCTTTGGACGTGAAAAAACCGTCCAGGCTTTTAAAAGGACGTGAATTCACAAGATGGACGTAAATGTTGCAAGAACTTGTAAAAAGCTATCTTTTAGCATCCTGGACTGGAATTGGTATCTATCCAGGGTAGCAGGAAGTTTCTTGAGAATTTGGGTCGCATTCTTCGAGAAAGCCTGAAATCAGACCCTAGCTGCCAACCTTGTTCCCACTGAAACCGACAGGTCCCGAAGCAAGCCTAGGCATTGGTGAGAAACTTGAGACACCCCAAACCCCTCCCGAGGATTCGGGTCCCGCGTTTTGGTTGAGTATGTTTCTTTTTTGGTATGAACTTAAGTCGAATGAGGTCCAACTGACCTGTCGGGAAGGATCGCTTCAGGCCATGTGCGTCACCGTGTGGCTCAAAAAGGGCCACATATGCATGTCCCTCATGACCGGTTAGCCGGTGTGGAGGATGTGGGCTGCACGTGCCACGCCACGAGCCTTAGCAAAAATTGAGCTTTCAAGTGGCTGGATCAATGAAGTGGTTTTATGGGAAAATCTGCCGGACACTACCCTTGTGTTCATCCCAGAAACTATGCATATGTATACTTTGTGTTTTCTTTTTTCTGTAGATTTTCCCTGAAACCAATTCTGGGACTGGAGGGTGGCTATGGAAGAAAGAGTACCACAACAACAGCCACCACAACAGCATATGAAGAAGCTCTTCTTCGGGTTTATACAACGGCAACACGGGCTTCAATTGGTTCAGATGTTTGCTTTGCTTTAAGGCCGCCTGCATACCCTACTCGTCAGATCGAGATAGACATACATGTACCTGGACCCTCGAAAGTACCTTAGAAAATGGGGCATGACCCCATAAAACAGCTACGACTGGGGCCCCATTGAACCCGAGGTACCAACGGGTCGACCCCAGGTAGCTGCCGAGCAGAGAGAACCAATGGCAAGTGGAATTTCGACACGTTGAGCGCAAGTCGCAGGATGAGTGGATGAGTGCATCACACCTACCCAGGATGAGTGGATGAGTGGATCACCTCCAGGTCACCTTTTGTTGTGAATTTGGGGGGAACCTCAATTTAATTGAATAATTATGATCAGATTCTCAAGGGAAGTTGGGGGAGTCAGATAGTGAACAAATGCCTGGCATGGAACGAGGAATGAGCGGAGAGGAATGAGGAACCGCGAGCTGCTGCCGGCGACTGTTTGAAAGGCAGCAAAGCCCAGCAAAGCCGCCGCAACGCAAAGCGTGCTCTTGATCACAGACGTTTGGTGGCCTCAAGCACTGGCAGGGAAGCGCGCTAGATCCGCGCTAGACCCCTTTGCAACCTTGACCACTTGTCCAAGTGCTTTCCAGGGCCTACTACTCCCACTACTGCAGACACACACAAGCGAGTGGGCTGCACGTCGCTGCATGATGTCGCGCATGAACAGCGGCTCAGACAATATGCCGCCAACATGGTGGCCAGAGTTTAAAGAGACTCTTGAAACTTATGTATCAGAAGGCTGCCCCGCTGCAGACTCGTCTTTGTTAGATGGTGGCACCAAAGACATTGATGGGCCGGCCCTGCAGCGAAAACATTGGATTTGGTTGAAGAATGAACTTTCTAAGAAAATCATCGCTGAAGCACGAGATGAAGGTTTGCTAGAACCTTTTGCAAAGCGTGTGCTAGGCGAGCTGCCAAAGCCGAAGCAGCTGCACACTTCTCGAGACACCAGCCAAAGCTGCCTCTCATGAGCGCCGCGAGCCTGCCGCCTAGAAGGCAAAGAGAGCTGCTCCAAAACCTGCAGCGGATGCTCATTGGCCATTGCAAAAGCGAAGGTGACATCCACCACACGATGCACTTGCTTGAAAACCGTTTGCAATCTCATTTTCCTGGAATAGAATTAAAATTCACAAGAGTCTTTTCCTGGATGCCGCATTGCAGCGTCTGGATGCAGTGCGGGAAGCCCGCGCAGGCAGTGGAAGACCAACATGTCCCTTGCAGGACCTTGACAAAGCTGTGTCCAGCAAAAATCCCCTTGGAAGTTTCGTCGACGAACCCAAAGCCAATCCAGGAGGGCGTCCACGGTTGAGTGAGCAGCCGCAGATATTGCAGCCAGCCCAGGAAGTGCTGGAGAGACATCCCAAGCCTGGAAGCAAAGTGGTGACAGCGCAGCAAAGCGAGGAGGACAAGCGGAAAGTGCGTGGAAGGGTTGTAGCATCTATGACGCGCAACCAGAATTGCAAAAGAACATGAGAGTGCCAAGATGGAGACGACTTCTGAATGAGCACTTTGGTGAGTACCGCTTGGGCGCTTGGAGGGCAGATGTTTGCACTCATTGCAGCACATTCCACGCAAAGGTTGTCCCTGATTTCAAGCAATTTTTGCAAAAGGCCCGAGCAGACTTGGAGGCGATTCCCCCTTCATGTTTCAATGTGCTCGATGAATATGGCGGGTTGCAAGAGGATGCTGAGAAGGAGATTGGTCCAAGGTGGCCAGAACATGGCTTCGATGTTTGCATGGGCAAAATGAGCAGTTCAGAGAGGAACGCGCAAGCTTGACAGCAGGACAAAGACTTATATACCCTTTTTTTGCAGTCGAAGGTTTTCTGTAGCATGAGTTGAAGGGGCGGATTTCTTTGCTGAATGCTTACCAATGGCACATGTTGTCACTTTGATCGACACAGTCAATCCCCAACTGCCACATGGTCATTGCCTTCTGGCTTATGATTGCCTACAGAAACTGAAACGACCCATGGGGCTAGACGAAACACGTACCATGTGGCATCATACTGCAAAGTCTTCTGCAGCAAAGCCTCAGGTACAGATGACCTTCTTCCTCTTCCTCACCGATGTTGTTGCCGAGGCAAGCAGCCTCATGCCCTTGGAAGCCTTGAATGCAGCAAAGGTCACTCAAACTGGAGTGTTGCAACTATAGTCTGACACTGCACCCCATTTTTGCTCAGCTGAAAGTTTGTATTTCTACGCGAGGAAGCTGCCACAAACACGCAACCAGACAATCTGGACCCGCTGGCTTGGACAACAGCATGGCAATGGCAAGTCTATTTTGTGGTGTTCACAGATCTGGCTGGCTTGCTAAATACTTGTATGTGCAGACTGCACCAATCTACAATTTGGAAGACATGGTGAAGGCATTCGCAAAGGGGGCAGCTGCACAGGTGAAGAAAGACCCCAAGGGCCCCAAGTGGATTGTCAAACATGTGCCCTACCCAGAGCAAAAAGCAAATATCAGACACTTTGTCTATGCTCCTTCCATGAAGATTTCACGAACCTACGCTGTAGAGGCAGAACCCTACCGAGGAAGGGCCACCCTTGTTCAACCGAGTTTCTGCTGATTGCATCCAGAGGCAGAAGGTAACAGACTGGAGAATTGAAACTTTGGAGGTTGACCCCCCAGAAGCATGGAGGAAAGCTTTCTTTGATGGGACAAAGGACTGGGAAAATGAACCTTTAGATTGGAGGGCTGACCACTATTTGAAGAGAGTTTTTTGAAGTGCAAGAGAAGAAGACGCTGGAAGACAGAGTGGCAAGCAAGGCCAAGCGACAGGAAAAGACCAATCAAAGGCTGCAGAGGAAGCAGCAGTACATTGAAGAGCTGAGGCAGGGAGTAAGGGGACGGCCACTTTCAGCTTCACATTTGGAACCGTTGGACGTTGGACTCTGTAAGTAAGAATGCAGCTGTTAAAAGGGCATGCGCAACATACAACCATATACATGAGCACATGTTGGGTACATCATAGCCACCGCTTGGAATTGATGTGATTTCAAACTAGGATAATGATTTTCGAACGGTTTCTTTCAGCTCTAGAGTCGGGTCCTTCAACCTAATATATAGATATGGGATAGCACTGTCAACCTATGGGATAGTCGAAGGGTCGGGTCCATGTGAACCTCCATGGGAACCTCCACTCCCGTCAGGACAGTGGGCGCGGAGCTCGACGTCAGCCGAGACCGGTCCGCACCCCACGGTCGGCCCGTGGAGGACGAGCTCGGCCGAGCCTCGGTGGAGCTCGTCACGTTGGAGCCAGGGGGTCGTTTTGGGGGTGAATGAGCAATCCATGGGGTGGGTGGGTGGGTTGGGAGTTTCAGTGGTTCCGATGTTTGAAGGGTCCATGTGCAAAGTCAATCTTCCAGCCCCCATGGATTGTTGAGGGAAAGAAAGGTTACAATTCGTATCAAAACATACCCAGGCACCCCATGGGACTGCCAAGATTTTATATGCCTACATTGACCCCCGAAACCACCCGAATGTAGACGAAAATTGCATACATGGAGTGTCTTAGATATATATATATATATATTCCCGTCCCATCGGGTGTGGAAGGGGGAGAATTCGTGCCGGCTGTTTGTTCTGCCCTGTCACTTCCTTTTCGAAGTGATTTTCCATGATTCTCCAGCAGGAAAAACCTGAAAGCGCCCAAATAGGGGCGCTAGGGAGTTGGTTCAAAAGGAAGAGGTGGAAAGTTCAGTGAAACTCAGGGGGGGCGTCCGCATGAGGCTCCACCTACCTCCTGAGGTTTTGTGTTTTTTTGTTGTGGGTGGTTTAGGAGGGTCGGTCCCTGCCTTCTTGAGGATGGGGGTCCGGAGGTGGGGGGTGGTTTGTCGTGTGTGTGTGGAGTTGC